GACGGCGAACTGGCCCTCCGCGGCGTTCCAGGCCACCAGGAAACGCAGCTGGTGTCGCTCGGGCTCCCGGAAGAGGTCCTCGCGCAGCGGCACCCAACCTTCCAGGCTGTCAGGCTGCTCGCAGGCCATGGCCGCCGCGGACCCCCAGACCCCGCCGGGCCGCGACATTTTTCGCGAGCCGCTACTGACCTCCGCAGCGCAACTGTTCCCTCCCCCTTTCTCTGATTGGCTGTCTGAGGGAGGACGCCTCGGGTTGGTTAAGTGAGAGCCAATGAAAAGTCTTTGGGGGTAGTTGGGACCGGGTTTCCCCTTTTATCCCCTGGTTAACCTTGAACTCACTAAGTTAACCAAGCTGGCCTTGAACTTTTACGTCCACCTGCCTGAGTCTCTTGAGTGCAGGAATTAAAGGCGTACCCCGTCGTGCTTGGCTGAGATTTTACTTTTAATCACGTGTGTGTATGGACAGGACGACGTTGCTCCTGAGTACTGGTACCAGAAGAGGGCGGTCAAATCCCCTAGCTCAGGATAAGTTTATGCTGTTGTGAGCCCTATAAGGAACTGGGACCCGCACTGCAGATGCTCTCTATAAGCAGTAAGTGCTCCTAGCCGCTGAGCCATCCCTCCAGCCACTCTTAGTTCTCTACACTAAAATAACAATTTCCTTCAGCAGTACCCTGTCAAGGATGTGGCTCCTGCCACAAATATGCTGGTGTGATCAAACTTTGATTTGAACTCAGCAGTGTTAAGAACTGAGTCGCAGACACATTTATTTTTTGCCAAGTTTGTAAGCCTTTACTGAGTGTCCGCCGTGTTTTTGGTATATTGAGGAGGTGGGCAAGGGGGAACTACCTAGATATTTCTGCTTTCCAATCGTCCTGGCTGGCAACTCAGCGTGCTTAAATATAATCTAGTCCAGTTTTATCTCGATAGCAAGGAAATTGAGACCTAGAAAGGATCTTATCTACAATACATCTCCACTAGGGCTAAGCGAGACCTTTTCACTACTGAAAACCTGCCTTCTGGGGTATTGTAAAAAGCCTGAAGAAAGTGCTTTGGCTAAAAATCATTTCCTCACGTGGGCCTGCAAGGCCCCTAAAGATGCCTTGTCTTAAACCTGTCACTTTAGAATCCAAGAACAACAGACAGACCCATAAACACCTTTATTATATAAGCAACAGTAAGTCTTATTTTTGCTGAGGAAACTTCACCACCCTTCACAAGTAATTTACTCCACTTGATAACACAATCTGTTGGGAGGGACCTGGAGATAAGGGTCAACCTGGCCACACCTTGATCAAGACTGCTGCTGATTACACGTTTTGTTTTGTTTTGTTTTTTTTCAAGGGGGAGGGGTCTCTGTCCTTCTGGACTCTACATAGAGCCTTGATGCTGGATGCCAAGTTTTGACTTTCCTTCAGATTCAAACGGGAATCTTTGTCCTCCTTGTTTTTGACGCATTACCCTTCGCCACATCATCAGCCCTCCTAGATCCTCTTTAGCTTGCTAGCAGCAGAAGCCTTCATAATCATATGAGCCAATTCCTCAAAATAAATTTCTCAACTATATAAACATCCTGTAGGTTTGTTTCCTCTAAAGAACCTAGATGTTAATACAGTGTGTGTGTATATGGAATGGAATGATATTTTATATTTTTCCATTTAATGTATATTTAAACACATCATGGGCACATCCACATTACAGAAATGCAGGCATGAGGCTAAGGGTATGTGACCTGGTGTAAAGATGCGCTTAGCATGGACCCTGTGCCCCAAAACAGAAGACACCTATGTCATTGTTTAATACTTACAAATATTGAGTTGGCTGTATCACAATTACCTAATAAATCATATATTGATTAAAAATAGATTGATTTCCAGTTTCTGCCCATCTAAACAAAACTATATGGGGCTGAAGGTAGCTCATTGGTATGGCGTATGCTAAGTATACTTCAGGCTTTAGGTCAATCCCCAGCCCCACACCAAAGACCAAAAACATAGCAGTATGAAGTGATGAATAGCTTGTCTATCCTTCTTGATGGGTTTTTAAAAACTTTTTGTTTTATCTGTTTGGGTCTTTCCACATAGCCCTGGTTGTCCTTGAACTTCAGTGATCCTCCTGCCTCAGTCTCCCAAGTTCCCAGATTACAAGTGGCAAGAGTCACCAACTCCAGATAAGTTTTTTCATTTTGTTTCTAATATTTTTTGGATATACTGAAGTAATGGCATTTCGAAACAGCCCAAACAATAAATACAAAATCCCCAGATCAAATAACCACATACAGACTTTCAAAGGAAATCATTCTTCCCGTAGTCTCAAACTCTGCATACATCTTGACAAATTTCTACAGACTCAGAATGGCCATCCGAAGGCATGGAGCTCCACTTAGCCTCTTCCCCTTTTACTATCAATTACACACTTATGTTTACCCAGCACAGCAAAAGAGGAGTGTGACGGATTCGGAACTAGAAAGACAGTGAGCTTGATAGCCTCTGTCATGACTTGAGTGTTCTTTTGCCTGCGTCCCGTCCTTCCTCATCACCTAATGGTACTCAAGGCAAAGGGTTTGCTTAGAGCCTGAGCCACACTTCTTGGGCCTCTCAAATGATTGGGGGGAAAAAAATAAGGCCTGAGTAGAAAAAAAAATCTGTCTGGGATAGAGGCAGTGGGACAGACTCTCTGGAGGGAGATGTCAGGTTGGAGAAGGTAGGCCATGCTTCCTCCACCCTGTGCCCTTCTACCCATGCCCCCTCATCCTGTGCCTCCTCTACCCTTGTGCCCCCTCCATCCATGGCCCCTCGACCTGGTGCCCAGAGATGGGTCCTCAAAAAGCCCCTTCAGGAAACTGTGTTTGCTCCTGCTGGAGAGAGAGCTCCAGAAGAGAAGACGAGCTGTGTTGGCGGGGGCGGGGAGACTTATTGGGTTCACTTGCATCTTAGGGTTTGCCAGAAGCAAAGATGGGACCAACAGAAGAGAGCAACAGCAAGGAGTGACCTAGTTCCTGTCCCCAAATGCCACCTCCACAAAGGAGAACTCACTGGTGGTGGGACACCAGACAACTTTGGAGAGGAATAAAGCAGACTTTTGGGAAGAGAAGGGCTGTCTTCCCCGGTTGTGGGGTCTTCAGGGGAGGGCTCTTCACAGTGGGTTTCTCTAGACATGAGAGCGTCATAGCTGAGAGAGAGACAGGCCCCACGGCTGTGCCAGCATCAGTTGTGACAGCCACTAAAACAGCCAGCTAGTCACCTTCACCCCCGCTCTCACATCCAGCCCTCTGCTCTCAGCGTGAGGAGGAGAGGCCCATCTCACTCTCTCTCCTGAGACAGGCATCCTGCTAAAGAGGACCAGGCTACAGAAGAGAGATGTTGATGCTCCTCCATTAACTAGGTTTGACCTTTGAATAAATCTCTAGAACTGGACGCTCAGTTGCTGACTATGAAGAGACTTAAGAGCGTGTCACCTAAGAAGGAACAGAAATCACAGGCTTTACTAGTTCTTTATTCAGAGAGAGGGGAACACTGCCCACACTGCAAAGGATGATGGGAGAGAAAACAAACTGCCTCTGGTTATCTCCAGAGCTGTGTACACAAAATACTTTGAGAAAACCCAAATAGAAGGCACACGACCCCAGGACTCTCAGGCATTTCCATTCTGGCCTGGCCATAGCAACTCTAGCCCTCTACATGTGGCCAACCATCTGAGTCCTGGGTCTCCACCCACACAGTAAATGAAGTTCTTCAGAGCACAGCATGTGACCTCTCCTGGTGACACTGGAGTGGTGAGAAGTGCCCAGGCTGCTGTGGCAGGTCTATATTTGGACCTGTCACTCATGGCAGGCCTGTTGCTATTTGTGGTGGGAGCTAGCTCATATTACCATCCAGCTTTGGCCCCCCACTTCGCAGGGTGGACTAGGCAAGGCCAGCCTGCAGAGCAGCCAGAGGTCACCAGGAAGGGGAGCTGGCTGAACAGAGGGATTCGGTTTTCCAGCAGAAACCTAGGACCTTGGAGTTAAAGGACGTGTGTGTGGGCCCTTAAATGAGCAGGCAAGTTTGGGGATATTTTGTGTGTAAACCATATTATCTCACTGTACTAACACAGTCGCTGAGTTAATGCATCGTCTTTCCTTTGGCTGGGAAGGGCTGTCATAGCTGTCATAGGACGCTACACATGCAAACTGCACCGGACAGGAGCAATGTTTTCCATGCCTTCTTGAATCTGCAAGGATTCACGTTGCCTAAAGATGGTAACAGGCATGAAAAGTCTCTTAAACCTTGGGAGAAGCTGACGATTTTTGACCGGTGTCTGTCAGGTGCTTTAAGTGTGAGGCCCATTTGCTTGAACGCTTTGGAGCTCTGGCTACGGTATTGTGTTGATAAATACCTTTAAATTGGAATCCGCCAGTGCCTTCTCAAAACTCGTTATGTCCATGCTTTGATTCAAACACTGATGTTTTCTGCGTGAGCTGTAGGCAGCCTGTCCTTGAGGAAAGCTTGGGGTCTGCGCTGGGCCTGGGAAACTGGTCACAACCACCTTTGCCGTCCTATACCGCTAACATTGAAAGGCAAATTTTCTTTAGCTGCACTTGGGGAGTTGCCAGGAGCTGTGCAGACAAGCATTTATAATTACATGCAGGGTGATGTCCCTCCCGTTACGGTGTCACCTCTAGGGAGTTATTTCCAGTAGATTCTCAGATGTGCCCAGGCTCCCTAGAAGGTTAAAAGGAAAAAAAAGAAGCAGGGAGATTATTTCCAATTAAATCATCTAAGACACATCTCACACATAAGGCTTAAACAAATGTCTTCTTTTTAAAGAGATTTTTCAGTGATGTGTTTATATGTGTGTGCATGTGGGTATGTGTACCAGCGTGCAGGCCAAAGGTGTCGAGTTGGAGTCCCAGGCAGTTAGAGCAGCCTGGTGTGTGTGGCAGGAATCAAACTTGGATCCTCTGCAAGAGCAGCAAGCATGATTAATAGCTGAGCCAGTGCTCCAGCCCACATGCAGAGAGAATAAGAGTCTCCAATACTTCGTGCAGTATAGACTGGGGTTTATTGCTTCACTACCCTAAGCCTTCATTTCAGACATTATAAAATGGTAATTTGTGGTCAGTGCCCCCCCTTCTGACTCCATTAGGAAACATAAGAAGCGCAGGAGCTGAGGGGAACTGTGTGCTGGGGGTTGTGCTGCGGGATTCGTGCTTCACTGCTGAGTACGCAGACCAGATGACATTCACACCCAGAGAGCAGATGCTGGCGTGGAAGGCTGCGCTCTTATTAGCTGGTGTGTTGCAAAATGCCGGTCTTGCTGGAACCTTCTCCACGCCTCTTGTGGGACTTTGAGCTGCAAGTGTTTCTTGTCAGGACCTCTGAATAAAACAGAATTCTCTCTCTCTCTCTCTCTCTCTCTCTCTCTCTCTCTCTCTCTCTCTCTCCACACACACACACACACACACACACACACACACACGGAGGTGCAAGTTTTATTTTTAGAGCACTATCCTTCATGCACGGGAAGCCTAAAGTTGGCTCTCAGCTCTCACTGGACCGGTGGCGAGCACACAACGAGATTCAGAGGAGTCCAGACAATTAAACCCTGTTAAACTGATCTTAAAGAAGCCCCTTGTCCTCCCCCGAACTCAGTCTTGACATATTAATATCTAGAAACTGAATTAGAGGCCCTCCAACCCTAGAAGAGCACATCTCTGCCTAGGCCACTGGGACGTTTTTGTGAGGGGAATGATGATCTCATTAGGCAACGTCTCCAGCTGAACATGAGGGGACTCAGCCTCCTCCAACCAGCGGCTCTCACGGGGCAAATGTGCAGTCAGCAGCTGACTCCACACTGCTGTGGCCTTTCAGTCCCCATCCCTGGTCCTCACCCTCCACAGGTGTCCAGGTAGGAGAATGTTTATAGATAACTTAATTTGAACAAAGCAATATATACAACAGTTCACATACTTACATCATTGCATCGAATGCCAACCTTATGAGGTAGCTTACTAATTAATCAGCCTGTCTTATATTATATATTATATTATATATTATGTATTATAGTCCATGAAAGTGAGGTAGTTTTGCAATATCACACAGTTAGAGTGTCTCAGAGACAGACGGTCAACCCAAGGCTATCTGAATCTAGAGAGCAGTAGCCTTGGGAAAGGGGTGTGTGTGTGTGTGTGTGTGTGTGTGTGTGTGTGACAGAAAGAGGGGGGAAGAGGGAGAGAGAGATCTACAGATTGTATACCCAGAACCAGTGTTCATATTAACTGGCCACTCACTACACTGGGTGATATCAATGAGTTTACTTCTGTTTTGGGGGGGGTGGAGGAGACAAGTATCACATTATTAATAAAATTACCTGGCATGAATGAGAAGGAACCACAAAACACACAACAAACTTAGGAGTTTATCAGAGGGGGCGTGCACAGACCTGGGGAGTCAGTGTGCAGAGAGAGAGAGGAAGATGGCGTGTCCAGCTTTTAAAACCTGCCTGGCGCATGTGCACAGGGGGTTGGCATGACTATGTCATACACAGATGCTGGAGCTCATGCATGCACACAAGGGCTTAGCTGAGTCATATGTGGATGTAACCATTCATGCGCGCACGTGGGTCATGTGGGGGCCATTAGACACTTCTGCCTGAGGGCTTGTCTGTACCTGCATGACTCCTAGAACCCGAAGTACCAGTCTTACGTAGCTGAAATCATTACAGCTGGTCTTCGTGAAAGATGAGGCAGACTCTGGCTGGGTAGGGAAGTAGGTGGCTGAGGAGCGGTAGAGAAGGAAGAAGGGAGCTCTCAACAGGAAGACCCTGGGTGAGATTTAACCGGGAGATACTGAAAGGGGTCACAAGAGCATAGAAGTCTGCTAGCGAAGGCATGTGCCATCACTTTGAGAGTGAAACACTAGGAGATGGGGATTGCATCAGGGTTCGGAAGAGCTGAGACTGGCCTATGGTGGAGCCTTCAAGATGGCTGCCTACGCATCTAAGTGCTTATGTCAGGCAGACACCCAGCGCCAAGAGCCGTGGGGCCCACAGTCTGGAGAAAAGATGGCTTCAGAGAAAAATTCTGCCTACAGAGTGACACTCAGGTGTGATATTGGAGCTTCAGGGGGAAACTGTGATTTTAGTCTATGGGACCTAAGTCTTAAGGAAGGAGAAGAGACCTGGGGTACCAGGAGGGAGTGAAGGAAGCATTTCTGAGAAATCAGGCCCCAGTCTTGGATGGCGTGATAATCGCTTGATTGTCTGGGTCATCCTCAAGAGCAGGACCAGTGTCTCATGCCTTGTGCCAGCCCCAGGCACAGCCAGTGCCGAAGCAATGGATGAGACCCGCACTATAGTCCAGGCACACGGTGAGATCAGCAGGGCTGGCAAAGGGTCCCAGGATCCCCCTGAGAGTGAAGACTTCCTGGTCATCCTCCATTGCCCTGAAAGCCAGGGGACCAAGTGGGGTGACGGCAGGCAAACCCTAAAGCCTCGACTTGCTGCTGCTGCTGTCTGAGATGTGACCCTGGAGCAGGGCTCGGTGCTCATCCTCCTGGGTTCATTTTCAGATGACAGGCCCTCTTCTTCATTCTCCCCTCTTTCCCCATGAGTCAGAGCTCACAGCGAGTATTACTGAGACCTTATTTTCCTGCAGTAGGAGCGTCTGGTTAGCTGAGCATTCAGGCATGCAGGACTGAGAAACAACTCACAGCCTCTTAGAAAAGACTTTGAATGGTTCTGTTGAGAATCCTCCACTACAATGAGGAGTAAACCGAGCCAGGATGGATCGTGGTGAGGGGGACTAAGGTTAAGTTTCCATGGCTTCGAGGCAGTTTTGGCCTTGGAAACCATTGAAGGGAGAAATGGGCTTAGACTCAGGCAATGTGCATGGCAGCCTGGAGGTGCCGCTGATCCTTCAAAGACTTGGTATGCCAAAGCATGTTTATGATAGAAATGTCATTTGTTGATCATCTATGATATTGTCTTCAAAAGATATGCACATAGGATTTGGAACATGCATATAATCACAAGTCTCTAAGTTGTAAGCTCATTCTTCTACTAATCAAGTTACCAACATAATTTTTAGTTGAATTAAGTGGAACAGCATGTTGACATTATAAATTTTGGCATACAATTTAAAAATAAAATGGAAATGTGGGGGGGTATATGCATGTGTTTATATGAGCAAGGGCACATATACACATGAGTGTGTAAGGCCAGATGTTGGGGTCAGGTTCCTTCATTGATTGCTTTCCCCCTTAGTTTTTGAGACAAAGACTGTCACCGATGCTGGAGCTCATCGATTGGGTCAGGCTGGCTGATCAATGAGCTCCAGAGATCTGCCTATCTCTGTCCCTTTGCCACCTCCCAGTGCAGGGTTACAGAGACATGTAACTGCTTCCGGTTTTTACCTGACCTGAACTCCAGTCCCGGGGCTGGTGTCGCAGGTGCTTTACTGACTGGGGCATCTCTCCAGCCCAAAAATGCATCTTTTAATGAATGAGTGGGACTTTATCTGCTTTTTAAAAAAAAACTCAAACCCAAGTTTGAAAATATCCCATTCTAGAATGTAACAGGAATGAGAGTTTATATTTTTTTTAAATCCTGTCCACGCAAGCAGAGTGATCATATATCTATATAAGTAGATGGGAAGGGAAGCAATTTATAATAATGCCATTCCATTCTGCCAGCTCTTTCTGAAATGTATGCCAAAATTATATAATGACCTGCCATGAACATTTATTTTAAATAACGTATCAGCTGACAACTTGATTAGATCCTCTTGCAATTTTGTTGGAAGCAAAGAGCCGGAAAGCACTTACCTTGAAAAAAAAAATTCTTACCCATTCATTAATGTCACTCACTCTCAGCATCGATACCGATACTTCAGATTGTCCTTTCATCTAGTCTCCTGGAGGTTTTAGCAAATTCCCAAGCAATGAAATCTTACTGTGCAATGGAATAATCAGAATGAGCGGGAAAGATGGTTTTTGCTTTTATAATAAAGAAGAGAGGGGCTGTTGAGAAAAGAGAACCTCAGATGCTGGCTCATTCCCAGGTAAAGCAGCTCCGAGAAAGACTAAGTACAAACCTGAGGATCTGAAAGCTGACTCCCTAGTATCCATGCCCACATTCCCCGTGGAAAGTCCCATATACACGTGCCATTGCGTAAAGATCAGAATTATCAATGCCGTCTTTTGAAGGAGCCTGAATATGAACAAAAGAGAGAGGAAAATGATAGCAAAAGGGAAGGAAGGTTATTTTGAGGCTGGTATCATGCATACTATTATTTTATAACAAATTATTCCACAGCTTGATTACTTAAAATCATCAGTATTTATCATCTTACGTGGTTTGTGAGGGCTGAGGGTTGAGACAAGATCTTCATGGTGATTCTGGTTCAGGGTGGTGCTCCCCACTGCCTTTCTGCAACAGGGTTTCAACTCCCTGTGCTTGCTAGCCAGCCATGGCTCCCCTGTGCCTCGTGGGCTTTTCTTGATTGTGGAGCAATTGTGAGTCACCTCCAGCCTGGACAGTTTGGTGAAGCAGCTTGCCATGATGTGGACTGGGGCTATAACTTCTTCAATGCCTTCTTGGGAACTGACGTTCATCTCTTCTGTGTCCTAGGACTCAGAATATTCACTGACCATCTGAGAAGGACTGTTCTGTATCAATGGAGGAGGACGCAGGGGAGGAGCTGGGGCTGGGCGGGTCAAGGGCCCCCAAAGACTTCCACTTCTATCACATGGACCTGTATGACTCTGAGGACAGACTGCAGCTCTTCCCGGGAGAAAGCGGCAGAATCAGGAGCGAAGTAAACCAGGCTGAAATGACTAATGAGCCGAGAGGGGCAGGGGACAGCAAGAGTCTCCCAAAGGAAGTGGACGAGCTTGTCCACTTATATGGACTTGAAGATGACCATGAGTTAGGGGATGAGTTTGTTGATGAACACAGACTAGGGACTCTGGAGTATCCTCCTTATGGCCCGAGGAGGAGAGACCCAGCCAGAGAGCAGAGAGACTGGGGACTTAGTGAGGCAGCTGAGGCCGAGGACCTGGGCTATGGAGGGCAAGGCCTTTCCGGGCAGTGCCAAGACCTCCGGGAAGCCTACAGGTACACGCACGGCCGTGCCAGCGAGGAGTATGAATGCTACGTCATCCCAGAGGAGGAGGATGAAGAAGAAGAACCTGCTGATGTCTTCTGTGCCACTTGCAAGACTCCAGTAAGAACTGCTGAGAAGGATGTGGAGGCACACGAGGGACATGAAGTCATGCCACTCAACAAAGCGCTGGAAAGCGCCAAGGTAGCAGGTCTCCTTCCATCTTTGTCTGCAGAGAGTATGTGTGTCTCAGGGAGGCAGGCAGGGAAGACATCCTACATGCCTCTACAAGCATGGAATGGGGGAGATGGAGAGATGGCTCAGCGGTTAGGAGCATTGACTCCCCTTGTAGAGGTCTTGGGTTCAATTCCCAGCACCTATACGGTAGCTTACAACCAACTATAACTGTGGTCCCAGGGGATCTGGTGGCCTCTTCTGGCCTCTGTGGCTGCTACACACACACACACACACACACACACACACACACACACACACGCACAGTGTACAAACATACATGCAGACAAGCATCCATATGCATATTTTTTTAATTTAAAGACGTTAGAGCAAGCATAGCATTAATGCCTTGTTTGTTCTGCTCCATAGGATGAAATTCACAAAAACATGTGCAGATTGGAGCAGCAGATTATCGAGATGGAAAATTTCGCCAGCCACCTGGAGGAGGTGTTCATCACGGTGGAGGTGAGAGCCTCCTTGGGGACTTCGCCACACGTGTAGCTTCCGCCTGTGGCCACATCAAGCAGGTGGTCCTAGCGAGCTCCGGAAGCTATCTCTTAGAATGTGAGGCATTCCCCACAGACCTCCCACCAGCCCTGGGCAGCCACGGAGGTGATGGTCACTTGTCTGCATCCCTTACTACGTCCTCTGTGTCCTCTAGGTGGGGGAGGCTGGTGTGTGTGTATCTCCAGGTCTACTGCATGGATTTTTCAAAGCAAGTGTGTTATACATGCTTATTGCATAGATAGATAAAGCAGGAAATTTCCAATCAAAGTGCCAATTGCACAGGGTTTAGATTTTTTTTTATTCTAACAATGATGACTCCACAGTAGCACCATCCAGATGGTAAAATGAACAGGTTTTTTTTTTTTTTTTTGTCCTTGAAGTAGGGATGGGGTGGAGGAAGGTATGTGTGTGTTCGGGTGCACCTGTGTATACAAGTGTACATGTACATGTATGTTCATACATGTGAGGGTCAGAGGTCAAGTTTGGGTGTCTTCCTCAGTTACTATTTTTTGAGACTGGGTCTATGACTGAAATTGGAGCTCTCTAATTTGGCTAGCCTGGCTGACCAGCAAGACCTGGAGATTCCCCTGTCTTGGCTGCCCTCAGTGTTGGGATTTCATAGGACCACTGCTGCACCTGGCTTTTTATCTAGGCGCTGGAGATCCAGACTCAGGCCTTCATGTCCGCATGACAAGCACTTCACCAACTGAGCCACTTCCCCAGGCCCCTGCCCTTGGTGGGTTTTGTGTTTGGCTGGTTGTTTTTTTTCCTCTTCTTTCTTTTCCTGCTCTCAGTCTCAGGCTGAGATTCCCATGGGTACCATCTGATGACCTGCTGTATCACCAGACATGACAGGACATGCTGTTGCCTTCATCTCTGGAGTTTTTCATTTTAGGTCTTTAGGGTGGCATCACGTCACCGTATTCAGTCAGGGGCGAGCCTCCCCTTTGAAAATACTCATTGTACATTTTATGTTACACCGGGAATTCTCACGTTTATGATGTGTGTTGGGCGTATTTCCCCAACTCCACTCCCCTCTTATCGTCCCTCTTCCTCTCCCATTAATATTCTCCGTTCCCCAGACACTTCTGTGCCGTATGTACATACATGAGTTTATGAATCCATGTAAGATGTAGGAATCACAAACGAGAGAGAATATATATTTGTCTGCTGAGACTAGCTTCATTCACTTAATTGGAGTCTCTCCACCAGCATCCATTTTCCTGTAAGCAATTCCATTGTGTATATGAGTTCCAGGACAGCCAGGGCTATGTAGAGACCCTGTCTCAAAGAAACAAAGAACAAAAAAAAAAGTTTGACAACAGAGCACGTGAGTGAGAGTGCTCAGGGGCCCTGATTATTGTTTCGGGGTTCCCTTTCCGGGGTTCAAGAAGAGGAGCTTGGGCATTCGGGGTATAATTTGGGCAATTCGCTATTTCGACCGACAGGCTTAGAATACATGAACCCTTGCTTGCTGCCCGTATCCCTGCTCATGAAGCATCTAACTTTAATTATTATGCATGCCCCATTATGTAAAGCATAAGATGGTAATGCAGCACTCTCTCTTCTCCCTGAAAGTTCACTCTGGGGACACAGTCTGACTTTATATGCTTGCACCCAAATCCAGTCTAGGCCAGACCAGCCCACTGCCCATAGTCCTAGATTGTATTCCAGGATGTGTTTGCAGGGAAATGGGGTGTTATCAAGGATTGCAGAGAAGAGTAACTATCTCCATTGTTTATAGCATGTATACATGCAGTTCTATGCAAGTAGGAGTCCTAGATTACTAACAGGCTGCTAGGTGCATTGTTTGGAGTCTAGGAGTGTGCAGAGCCCACGACAAGTGGAGTCCAGGGTTGCTAAGCTATTCCCTGTGTCTGCATTGCCTCAAAAGGGACTTCTTACTATTCAGTGCCAGCTCTCTCCCTGTCCTGAAATGAGAAGAATGCAGGCGCTTCATCCATGGACCAAGATTATTGAGCTGGAAGCTGTTCTTAGTTGCCCATTGGGCATACTCTAGATCTCCACAGAGCAAGTGTAAATCCTCTGTCCTGGCTTTAGTTAACCACTGCAAGACATTCATCCTTCACACTCAGCCTTTAAGGGGAGAGAGCTATCCCACTATTCCTGTGGAAGGAGTGGGAAGGAGGGGAGCTCCTCTACTTCCAAGCACAAGGTGGTAGGAGGAGAGACAAGAATGAGACAGTCAGGGCAGACGTGCTATGCTAGGACTGGAGAGATGACTCAGAGGTTAAGAGCACTGTTGCTCTTCCAGAGGACCTGGGATTGGTTACCAGGTGGCTCACAATAGCCTGTAATTCTAGGTCTGGGCAACCAATGCCCCCTTCTGGCCTCTGTGGGCACTGCACACATGTGGTGTGCGGACACACATGCAGGCAAAACACCAAACTTTTTTCTTTGCAGTTCCTTATGCTCTATTCTGTCACCATGTCACCTGTCATACTCTCAGATTCAAGCATCTTCATCCCCAGTGAGGATAGCGGGGGCCTCCTGTATCTCCTCCAGAGACTCATCTACTGCTTGACCCTCTCACCATTCTGACTGGGTTTTAGCACACAGTAGGTGCTTAGTAACAGCTCTGAGAGACATCCTTGTCATTGCATGAAGGTCGCCACAGTCAAAGACCACTGCACTCCTATGAGCTTCAAGTGTGAGGAAAGGATACTGGAAATCTGTCTCCTCTACTCAGTGTTTCCCAGACTCTGAGCCTTCAGTTTAAATACTGTAGGGATCAGCCAGGTGTGTTGAAGCAAGTCTGTAATCCCAGCACTTGGAAAGCTAAGGCAAGCAGATTGCTGTGAATTCCAGGCCAGCCTGGCCTGCACAGTGGGTGCTATATGGGGACACCTAATAAGATGCTATGACAAGAAAACCAACACATTCATAAATGCCACCCATATGAGAGCCGTTGTCTACATCCTTCTTCCAGCATTTCCTCATTCACCAGGCAGTGCCATTTGCTACAACCCCTTCCTTCTCTGCTTCCTAATCTCTCCTCGTTGCCGTGAACGGAGCTGGTACACTCCTGGTGCTTATCCATGTCTCCGTTAGTGAGGACAGACATTGTAAGATGTGGGAGCACGGCAGGGATGGCAGGCGGACCTCTCTCAGGGCAAACACTTCTGCCTCTGAGTCAAAGCTCCCAGCAACAAGCTGATTAACTATTGATGAGCTGCAAGGCTGGTTGCTATGGTAATGGGAGGTAGCTGAAACAGGGCAAGGTTTGCAACATGGTGCCAGGAAAGGTAGCAGCACTTTTTGGCGAGGCCATTCAGGGCTGGGGAGCACAGATCTCACTTGGTGAAGTTCAAGGACCTGAGTTTGACCCCGAGAACCCACACAGAAAAGCTGGGTGTGGCGACACATGCTTGTAATTCCAGTGCTGAGGGGGCAGAGAGAGGAAGATCTCTGGGGCACACTAGCCAGCCAGCCTAACCTAACTGGCACACTCCCTGCCAGTGAGAGATTCTGTGGATGACACCTGAGGTTATCCTCTGACTTCCACATGCACAGACACGTATGTATACACACATGTTCACATGTATTATTTAAATAAGTAATTAAAGATCATTCCTGGGGATGTCAGAAGGAATCTCCCTGTTTTTACATCCCCAGCACCTCCCCCCCCCAGCATCTTGCTAAGAGATGGGATAAAATGAAGGGGTGAAAAGAGCTCGGGATAGACAGAGCTTCAGGTCCCCAGTGACTCGAGCCAACATATCACACGTGCTAAAATGACGCCTGAGGTCAACTGTCTTGCAGGAGAATTTTGGAAGGCAAGAGCAAAACTTTGAGTCACATTACAATGAGATCTTGGAAACCCTCGCTCAAAAGTACGAAGAAAAAATTCAAGCCCTAGGGGAGAAAAAGAAAGAGAAGCTGGAAGCTTTATACGGACAGCTGGTCACCTGCGGAGAGAACCTTGACGCCTGTAGAGAGCTAATGGAAACCATAGAGGAGATGTGTCACGAAGAGAAGGTGGAGTTCCTGAAGGTCCGTGCTGAAACAGAAAGGGAAGGGGCAGAACCCTGAGATGGAATCCCAGGTCTAGCCTAGAGTAGGCAAGCCCACTCATGCTAAAACAGAAAGGAAAGGGACAGAAGCGTGAGATGGATTCCCAGGTCTAGCCTAGAGTAGGCTAGCCCACCCATGCTGAAACAGAAAGGAAAGGGACAGAGTGTGAGATGGATTCCCAGGTCTAGCCTAGAGTAGGCTACCCCCCCCTTTCCTCCCAGAGGTCCACATCTATCTTATGTTCATGGCAGGAGGCTGTCCCCCCATCTCTCCACATCACTTCATTGGTGGAAAATAGGCAGAGATACCTGGCCCTTCCCTTCCCCATTCCCCAGGTAACTTCAAGCCTTGTCCCTCTGTCCCTTGCTCGTGGAGGTGCCATGAGAGTTTCTTGGTTGCCTTTGTGGCTGCTCTTGGGCCTCTGGGAGAAAGTTGGTCCAGGTTAATAAGGTACCTTAAATTGCCCTGTGCTGAGGATGGCAGTTGTAAATCTTGCTTTGTAACTTTATACATATGCCAAAATACAAAGTATCTATGCCTTAATTATATTCAGATCATATTAAATCTGGCCCAAACTCCATGTAATGAAGTTATGACAATGTCAACTGCATTTAGAGATCTTGCAAGGTCCCATGAGACTATGGGGCACATATGGTTTTGCAAAGAGGTCTTCAAGGTCATCTTAGCTGCTGAGTATGACCCCCTCGTTGTCCAAGCTCACAGCTTACTCCTCAAAGCCAAATCATACCTCCTTTCAGCCTGATCATGGTAAGAGACTCCCGCCCCCAGAATAAAGGTGAACAGCAACCCAGCAAGGGCCGCGAGAGGACCCAGTGCTCAACCTCTTGAGCATCTCACATATAGAGTGTAGAAAACACGCATTACCTATGATGGTGGAAACCTGTGACAGCTACAGGGCCCTACAGCAGATGAACCATTAAGTAAACAATGGCGTTTCTAGGCAACAATCCCTTGCAGTCTTTGTAGTCAGTGGTCCAAAGGACCCTGTGTGACCCAGGAGGTGCAGGGGTGTGGAAGGAAATGCACAAGCATGGTGGGTTTGTTAGGGTGATTCCCCCTGCCCGCTTTTCATAATTTCCAACTTAAAACAATTACATTATTATATTGCTAAGAAAAAAAATTTCCTAAACCAATTTAACATTTTCCCTTCCTTTTCAGGATGCAGTGGCTATGACTGACAGGTAACAGTTTTGTTCTGATCTAGTTTCTGTTTCCACTCCTTTCCCCTCTAGACTCAGTTCCACTGAGTTATCGGCTTCCCTCTTCAGCTCTGGTGACCCTATAAATAAAATACTACCGACTTTGGAATGGCAGCGTGGGGCTAGTAGGGCCCTTTGGAGGAGTTGAATCTTAGATTCTCTGGGCTGGAAGGGAATGTGTGTGGTGAGACTCACTCAGCAAGCCTGTGCTCAGGTCCTCCCCCTCCCCCCCCCACACACGGGAACTTTGTTTCACTGGGAGAAACTGAGGACTGGAACATGCCCCGAGCTCTCTTCCTGCCTTGGTCATGCTGTGGAGGAAAACACGCATGTTTTAAAGTCGGACACAGCAGAGCAGAAACACTGCTTCCACAGTGACCGTGGACAGCTCCAAGCCCAATGCCCACCTTCTCTGTTTATAAACAGGGCTGGCTCTGTGCAAACTTAGTAAGCGTCTGGGAGCAGCATGGGAACTCAATAATGCCAGGGCCTACATACATATGTTTCGGCAAAAATGGAGCTGGATTTCAAATTCCACCTTTGCCACTTAGAAGCCTCGCGTCTGCCGGGGAGCAGACATAGGACCATCCGTCTAGAGCTCTGGGGCAGCAATGTGAGGCTCCTGACCATGGGGAGTGCGAGGTTGCAGAGTAGAACCCCCAAGTACCTGTGGGGACGGGGTGGGGTGTGATGTGGGAGTAGATGTGGATCTGCACCCTGCTGACGGAAGGACTTCCCCTCATTCTTAGGCCCAACCCTTCCCCTGTCCCTGGGAGGGGTTAGACCAATGTCTCTCAACTGTGGATCTCAATCCCTTTGGGGAGGCATCAAACAACCTCTTCACAGGGGTCTCCTGAGACCATGGAAAACACAGATATTTACATTACAATCTGTAACAGTAGCAAAAATACAGTTGTGAGGTAGCAACAAAATAATTCTATGGTCGGGAGTCACCACAGCAAGAGAACTGTATTAAAGGGTCCCAGCGTTAGGAAGGTCGAGGACCACTGGCCTAAACAGTGATGGGTGGTTTGGATAGGAAGTGTTCTCTAACAAGCTCATGGGTTGAAGGCTTTGTTCTCAGAGCAACTGTGTTCAGAAATTAGGGTTCAGGGGAAAGGACTGGATCAGTAGAGCCCCGATCTTGTGACTGGGGATCCTCTGATGGGTTCATAATTCTGTGGTACAGTGAGGAGGTGGTGATGAGGAGCTGGGATCTAGCGGAGGAAGCAGTCACTAGAGGTTTGCCTTTGAAGCGCAGCCTTGTCCCTGGCCTCTCCTTCTTGCCTCTCTCTGCTTCCTGGCTGCCCACGAGAAGCAGCTTTCCTCCATTTTGCCCCTCCCCCCACCATGCTTACACACAGGGCCCAAGAACAATGGAGCCACTGACCGTGGACTTAAACCAACCGTGGGCCAAAGTAAACACTGCCTCCCGTCCAGTGTTTATCTCTGTGATTTGTCAAAGCCACAGGATTATGATGAGGTAACCTCCTGGTCCATCATCAAATCAGATAGCAGAATCCAGAAGCACGGGAAGAAATGCAAGTTTGTCAAAGGGGCCCCCATTCCCTCATAGTGACCTAGCACTATAGATGAACCCTAAGAAGAAAGCCCCTCCATCTTTGTGTGAATTTGTATTTCTTTTTTTTTTAAAAAAAAAAAAACATGTGTGTTTTGTCTGCATGATCTGTGGACTATGTGTGTAACTGGTGTCCACAGAGGCCAGAAGTGAGTGTCACATCCCCTGGGACCGGGTTGCAGAGGGTTGTGAGCTGCCATGTCAGTACTGGCAATTAAACCTAGATCCTCTGGAAGGACAGCCAGTGCTCTTAACTGCCGAGCCAACTTCCCAGGCTCTGAACATGTCTTTTTATACCTACAGGCTGGGGAAATTCCTGAAAACCAAAACAGACGTGGAGCTCTCTGCACAGCCTGAGTTTGAAGACCAGACCTTGGATTTCTCTGATGTGGAGCAGCTGATGGACTCCATCAACACTGTTCCAGGTGTGGGTCTGGTCTGGGCATCTCCACAGGAGCTCTGATTTCAGACACACACACACACACACACACACACACACACACACACACACACAGAGAGAGAGAGAGAGAGAGAGAGAGAGAGAGAGAGAGAGAGAGGACCTAAATGGATGGTATAATAAATGGAACAGATCATTCACAGAAAAGACAAACAATGCATGACTCTCTCTCAGTGAGGTGTCTGAAGGAGCCAAATTCACAGCATCAGCAAACAGAATGGTGACAGCCCAGGACCAGGGAGGGAGAAGTGGGAACTGCTGAATGACTAGAAGGACTTAGTGAATGAGATCTGGAGATGTGCTGCCCAGCACAGCCCCTGGAGTTAACAATATGGCATCCATCACTTCCACACATGGTGAGAGAGTAGATCTAATGCTAAGGGGTCGTAACAAGCGTGTCCCACCCCCGTGTGTGTGTGTGTGTGTGTGTGTGTGTGTGTGTGTGTGTTGGGGGTGGGGTGCACATTCACATGCATTCATGTGCATGTGGAGACCAGAGGTGGACATCAGGCATCTTTATTGCTCTGCTCTGTCCTTCGTTTTTTGAACCAGAGTCTCTGAACCTGGAGCTCCCAGGTTGTGTGGACTGTCTGGCCAGTCTGCTGCAGGAATCCTACCTCCAAGGTGTACAAAACTGCACCTGGCTCTTTAAGTGGACACTGGGGCTCCAAACTTGGGTCCTCGGGCTTGTTTGGCAAGCACTTTGCTGGCTGAGCCACCTCCCCAGACGTGCATGCTGACAAAACACCCATACACACAAAGTCATACAATAAAATAGAAGGTGGCTACTCCCATCCCACACCTGCACATATGGCTCCTCAATGTTGCTTTCTCTCTTTTCCATTTTTAGCTCCATCTGCTCCAGTGATAAATCCTCAGGCCCCCAACTCGGCCACAGGGTCCTCCGTCCGTGTGTGCTGGAGCTTATACTCCGATGACACCGTGGAGAGCTACCAGCTCTCCTACAGGCCAGTGCGGGACAGCTCACCTGGCAAGGACCAAGCAGGTAAGGTCTAGACCCTGAAAGAACCCCTGCTGACCAGAATGCTTCCGGAACGGCCCATTGTTCTGGGCATCTCTGGGTCTATCTTCACTCCCAAGGAAATGGCTTGGATGGTAGTAGGATTGGGGCCACCCTTCCCCCAATTTTCCATCAGCCTGTCTCCTGTGAGCAGTGTATTTGTATTAGCCGTCAGTTAGTTACTTTCCTTGTTGCTGTGAATGAGAAACAGCTTTAGGAGGGGAGGGTTTATTTTGGCTCACAGTTGGAGGGTAGAGTCCAGCACCAAGGGAGGGCATAGTAGCAGGTGCATGAGCAGCTGGGTACATGTATCCACAGTCAAGAAACAGCGATACAAGCTGGTGTTCTACTCAGTTTCTCCTTTATATTCAGTCTGGGACCTCCACCCATAGAATGATGGCACCCACATTCAAGGTGGGACACCCCTCCTCAGCTAAACCTCTTTGGAAATGCCTTCATAGACACCCAGAGGCCTGTCTCCTTGGTGATTCAAAATCTCATCAAGTTGAAATTAAGATTAATCATCATAGTCAGCTTGCTGTTACCATAGCAACTATCAAAGATAAATATACTTTTAAAGAAGAAACTTTAGTAGCCCATAGTTTTTGTCTTTAATGACACAGCACATCACAACAGAAGGTGGCAGAGAAGCTGCTCACCTAGTAGCATCCATGGGTCTGGGGGTACCAATATCCCTTTCAGGGTCATGTTCCCAATGATCTAACCTCCTCCCATCAGGTCCACCTCCTGATGTTTTCACCACCTCCTGAGGTATTGGGTTAGGGGCAACCTCACCAAACAACTGTTTAGGGCCACTTCTTTAAACCATAATAAGAAGGGGAGATCAGAGTACAGAAAAACTAACCCCCAAGCCCCACAAACCTGAAGTAATGAGGGTCTGGTCCTGCTGATAGGTCTGTCCAGTATGAGCCGGGTTAGAGTGAGATTGCCAGACCTGGAGATTTCCATTTAGTAGATGAGGATAGTGGAGGCTCAGAGAGAAACGAGCTGTCTGTGGGTCACAGTGAGTTGTGGCGGAACCAGGTCTGTGGGCAGACTCTGCCCCAAATACTGAACACTGTACCAGGCTGTGCAGGTGGCAGTTCTGCGTAAGGGAGGTCAGGGTAGCATCTGTGCCCAGGGGCCAGGAAGGAGACTTTTAAAGACTCTTTTTTAATATTTGAAATTTCATATATTTATACAACTTATATTGATCCTATCTGTCTACCACTACCACCATCCAGTTCTTCCTAGTTCCCCCACTCCATCTCTCTCCCAACTTCGTGTCCTCTTTTTATTTTGGTTTGTTCCTAATAACTCCAGTTCCAACTAGTGCTGCCCAGATGCACATGGGCACATGGCCATCCACTGGGGCATGAGCAGCCTACAGTGGCCACATCCCCAAAGAAAAGTGACTCCTTCACTCATATGCCATCCACTGCCAGCAGTTCCTCCACTTGGGTGGGGTCTTCAGGGCCTTCCTCTGCCCACGCTGGAAACTTGACTGGCTTGATGTTGTGGGGGAGCCATGGCTGCTGCCAGTTGCTGTGTGCACTGGCCACATCACATCTAGATGCTACATCATGTCTAGACGCCACACCACACCACGTCTAGCTGCCACACCACGTCTAGCCGCCACATCACGTCTAGATGTCACATCATGTCTAGACCTCACACCACGTCTAGCCGCCACACCACGTCTAGCCGCCACATCACGTCTAGATGTCACATCATGTCTAGACCTCACACCACATCTAGACGTCACACCATGTCTAGACGTCACATCACGTCTAAATGTTACATCATATCTAGACGCCACATCACGTCTAGATGTCACATTATGTCTAGATGTCACATTATATCTAGACGTCACATCATGTCTAGATGTCACATCATGTCTAGATGTCCACATCATGTCTAGACGTCACATCATATCTAGATATCCACATTTCACAGCTCTCCTCCCTGTCTGCTCCCTTCATTCTTTCTGAGCACTCTTCTCTGAACCTCCCTGAGCCTTGGGTGGTGGGACCTTGATATAGACCACCCATCCACAGCTAACCACTCAGGGTCATTTATACTTGGCACTTTGACCAGTTTTGAATCTCTGTATAAATCAACTACCCGCTGCATAAAGAAACTTTTCTGGCCAAGGTTGAGAGCAACACAGATCTATGGATGCGATCATAAATGTTTATAGAGCGCAGTTTAGCAACATGGCCATTTATCAAACAATAGTCGGTTCCCCACTAGGGCCTATGATCATGGACTTCTAACCAGGTTTACAGTACCAGACATCAAATCACTCCTGTGGAGCAGACCTCCTAACCAATTAGAACGTGGTTGGTTACCCTCGTAACTATCAAACCACTATTGCACCAGGGAGTAGATTTGCCACCAGCAACTCAGGGTTGTAGCATGAATGGTACAGTGCTGGGAAAGATCACTGGTGCCTTTTTCCCACAGCAGTCGATTCCTAAAACTGATTTTCCCTGATAACTCTGGCTTTCGAGAGCAGATTTATCCACGCATGCAGGGTGTTTGGTTTTGTTCGTTAAATTATTATTAGTTTAGCAAGTAACAGATTTCTTTAACACTTTTTCATATCTTTTAATTGGTTAGATTTCTGAGAGAAGGTCTAAGTAACCCAGAGTGGCCTTGAACTCACAGCTATTCTCCTGTCTCAGCCTCCTTGGTACTAGGATTACTAGTGTGGACCATCATGCACTCATTAGCTTTGTGCCAGTTAATTTTTGCCCTGTAGCAATTCTCCTGCCTCCAAATTTAGTGACTTAAAATAACACACATTTATTGTCTTATAATTTTATGGGTTGGCTATTGTCTCAGACAATTCGGGTCTGGGACCCCCTTGAGTGCGATCTGATGGTCCAAGGTGGCCTTACTCATTATGATGGTTTATCTCCTTCGTCAACTCGAAGGATTTAAAATCACCATGGAAACACATCTCTGGGTGTGTCTGTGGCGGTGTTTCCAGAAAGGTTTAACAGAGCAGGTAAGATCCACCTGGTGTCTCAGACGAATTCAAACAGGGAAAGCACAGTGAGCAGCTGCTCTCAGTATAAGTATGTTGTGAGGGCTGCAGCCGCCTTGTCTTCCTGGCCCTGAGGCAGGAATCCTTCCTCAAGTTGTCTCTCAGCAGGTAAAAGTAATTAAGGTCTTCTCCCCTGTCCTTAGCTGGGCCAGCTGGTGCAAGGGTGGGGGTGAGGGGTTTCTTCCCGGGGGGCCTTGAACTCTCTCCAGAGGGTGTCCTCAGACTCACCCATGTGTAGTGAAAGCATTCCCAGTAGTAAGGGGGCAAGTCCCTCATTGGGTTCCAAGCCTCCTCTTGCATCTTATTTGTCACTATACCACTGCTAAACAGCCTGACTTCAAAGACTGGCTAGGAATGCAGAGCCTCTTAGCACAGGGGCGGGGCCGTGCCACGGGAGGGAGGAATCTGCAGCCCTGTCTTTTACAAGGGGACACAGTAAAGCCACTCAGCCTTGTAAGGTTTGCATTCTGACCTTTTCTTTTTCTTCCAGAGTTTACCATGACGGTCAAAGAGACATATTGCTCAGTGACAAATCTTGAGCCAAATACCCAATATGAGTTTTGGGTGGTCGCTCAGAACAGGACCGGCCCCAGCCCCTCCAGTGAGCATGCAGTGTATATGACAGGTATTGAACTGTTCGTTCTCAATCGAGGCGACGCGGGAGTTGCAGGTTTCTAGACGTGACTGGGTTTTCCATTTCATTTGAAAAGACAGAAAGAGCTGTGTGTGGTTGCTTTTCTTGTCTGTGTGTCGTTTAATGCATTAGATCTATATGCCTGGTGTTGTAGGGACATTTTTTCCCCCATAGTTGGTCCACCACCCACAGTTTACTGACACTCGGGACTTGTATTAAGTTACTTTCTATGGCTGTATTGAAACACCATGCCCCAGGCAATTTAAAGAAAGAAGGGCTTATTTAGGGCTACAGTTCCAGAGGGATTCAAGAATCACGACAGTGCCAGGCGGTGGTGGCACATGCCTTTAATCCCAGCACTCTGGAGGCAGAGGCCAGCAGATCTCTGTGAGTTTGAGGCCAGCCTGGTCTACAAGACTAGTTCCATGAAAGCTAGGACTGTTACACAGAGGAACCCTGTCAGAAAGAAAGAAAGAAAGAAAGAAAGAAAGAAAGAAAGAAAGAAAGAAAGAAAGAAAGAAAGAAAAGAATCATGGTAGAGACGTGGCAATGGGTACAGTAGCTGGAGCAGGAAACTGAGGGCTCATATCTTAAACTACAAGTGCTAGCAGAGAGTGAACGTGTGTGAGCCTTATATTCTCAAAGGCCACCTACAGTGACACACTTCCTCCAACAAGGCTACACCTCCTGAGAACTCTTCAAACATTACCAACTGGGGACCAAACATTCAATTGCCCTAGGCTACGCGGGACATTTTATTACTCAAACCACCACAGCCCCAGGAATGTCTGAAAGGGTGCCCAGGTACTCGCATTGCTGTGGTGATGGCCAGGTCAGAACCTAATGGTTGGTCCTGTCTCCTTTCTCCTGCACTTAGCCCCCTCTCCCCCGACTATAAAAAGTGAGGCGATCAGAAGCTGTGAAGAGGCTGCGCTGATTTGCTGGGAGTCTGGGAACCTGAATCCTGTGGACTCCTACACAGTGGAGCTGATCCAGGCAGAGACGCCAGAAGCCTCGGGGGTAACTGAGTGAGTCTGGAGGCCTTGGCTGGGTACTAAAGCCCATGCAGTGTGGGGGCAAGGTCACAATTTGTGGCACACGACAACCTTAGTTAGGTTACTTAAGGTGCCCAAGAAGTAGCTAGAATACTATTGATCATGAATGAGGAATACAAGAGGCAAAACCCTGTGTTAGGTTTTTCTTTTTTCCCAAAGGGTGGGGAGGGTAGCTTTTGTTTGTTTTGTTTTGATTTTTGCTTTTTGAGACAGGGTTTCTCTGTGTAGTCTTGGTTGTCCTGGAATTCACTTTGTAGACCAGGCTGGCTTTGAACTCACAGAGATTCACTTGCCTCTGCCTCCAAGTGCTGGGATCAAAAGCATGTGCCGCTACCACCTGGCTCTGGGCGGATAATTAAGGGCACACTGGGTAAGTGTGCTTGCTGTGCAAGTGGGCGTATCTGAGTTAGGATCTCCATCACCTGTGTCAAGAGCTGGGCGTGGCTCCTCACCTGTAACTCCAGTGCTGTAGCGGGAGGAGACACTGGGGCTTACTGGCTGCTAGCCTAACTCCAGGATCAGTGAGAGACCCTGTCTCCAAGGAAAGAGGCAGAAAGTGACAGAGAAGAGCACTCCATGTCCTCCTCTGCTCTATGTGTGTACACACGGGTACATAACCCACACATACCTATATGTGCACACTCAAGCACACATGTGCACATGCACATGCACACACACACACTCTAATTAAAGCTTATCTTTAGGCCAACCATAGTGGCCCACACCTGAAAACTGAGAACTTGAGAGGCTAAGGCAGAAAGCTTTGCCACGAGATGGCCTGTGCTATAGAGTTAGACCACGTCTCAAGCATGCACTCCTTTAATCCCAGCACTTGGGAGGCAGAGGCAGCAGGCAGATCTCTAAATTCAAGGCCAGGCTGGTCTACAGAGTGAGCAGTCAGGGACAGGTAGATTTCCCCCACCCCCTCAAAAAACCAAAATAAACAAACAACCCCTCAAAACAAACAAAACAATCTAGGCACGGTGTTACTTCTCTATAATTCCAGAACTTGGAAGGTGGAGGCAGGAGGATCAGGAGTTCAAGATCATTCTTATCTATATAGCAAATTCAAGCCAAGCACGTGTTTGAGATCCTGCCTTTAAAAAAAAAAAAAAAGAAAGATTTCCTTTTTGTTCACATACTGAGTACCAAGCACTGAGGACCTTAGAGAACTAGAAAAACCATGTTTCTTGCCTTATGGAGCTCACAGTCCGAAGCAGAACGCGTCAGATGGGGAAAATGCAAATCAAATAATCCCACACTAGTTCTGAATAGGGTATACTAGGGTTTTCTTTATTAAAAAGGGAAACTCACGGATCACAGCAAGGAAACAGGAGGTGGGGTCCAACGTCCAGGTGTGGCAATCGGAAAGAGACCAAGGGGTGGTCCCGCTGGCCTTTTGGTACCCCAAAGCCACGCCCCATCTGGTGCAGCCTCTCAAAAGCCATTGGCTGAAGGAGGTTCCCAATCACCTCCCCCTTTTGTCTAAATAAGAGAGTTCCAAACCCAATATAAAACTATATACAATAAGAACAGATATCAAGTATAAAAATTAGAATTACAACTAGCATAAACAATATTAAACAAGGAACATATGTTGAATGTTTTAATAATTATTCTATCCCACAGAGTCTAAATCTTGTATTAGAAATGGCTTGGCTAAATCATAAGAGGAAAGTAACTATCTAATCTTCAACCCCATCCCTGAAAAGGGAGATAATATTACTTGAGTAGGTAGGAAGAGCAATCAGCTTCCAAACTGTGCAGTAGATGACGGAGACAACTGACTACCTGGGCAGTCACCCAGAGTTTTATTTGCAATGTTGAAGCAACCAATTTTTGGATAAGGTCTAGAGTAACTGACAGATCATTTCTAGAGGCAGGAAAAAATTTTAAAACTATCTCACCCTGTCTTGGCAAGGTTTGACAGTCTTTTTTTTTTTTTTAATGTATCCTGCTTGTCCGATCTGGACACTGTGCACTTTGTCAGTGGTCAAGGCATGGGCTTTTTTTTTTCCCAAAAGGTCAGTTTTGCCATGAAGAAAACAAGCTCCAAGTGGAATGTCTTTGGTGTTCAACATCCTCTCGGGAATAGATCAGTGCTGACAGGAGTGATTGTGTCTCATGTGAACAGAACCCTAAGTTATTTAAATGGCACGGGAGGAAAATAAGTACAAGCAAACCAATGAGCTATGTGTAAGACACACAGTTCCGAGAAAGAAGTATAATGGAGAGAGCGCTAGCAGAGTGGGGCCCGCTTTTTTGATAGATGTTTAAACCGAGTCCAGGATAGGAGCCTGAGAAGGGCAGGAGTGAGCCAGACATTTTGGGGTGAGAAGGGCTTCAGGACATGACCTTGGGGACAGGGGTGGGCTGGACACGGAGCAGGACGGGGATTAAAGTGACTGAGTAGGCACGAGGAAGAAGGGCACAGGAACGACAAAGGAGACTCAATGTACAAAGTACAAATGTTACAGAAGGCTGTCTGGAGAACGCGAGGCCTTCCCATGTCCACGAGGACAGAACATGGTGGCCACCAGGGTCGACGGGTCCCAAGAAACAATGGCAAGGCACCACAGAGGAAGTCTGGCTGCTTCTGGCTTATAACCAGGCCATTCTGAAGCTTGCAGATCAGGGAATTATCCAGCTGGGCAGCCCAGCCCCTGGCGTGGAGTCTAGCGGGGCTCTGCTCTGGAGAGCAGCACTGAGCTGCATCAAGAGAATGGAGAAGGGTCCAGGACAGCTTTTAGGAAAGCAAAGTATTTATTTATTTATTTAACAGCCTAGCCTCAGCCTCCCCTTCTTCTCTCCTCTTACTCCCTCCCTCTCTTCCTCTATGCCCCCTCTCAATCCACCCCTCTTCCATAATCACTCAGAAAGAGAGGTAAATTCTAATACTGGCCTTGTACGGGAGCCTATGTAAGAAAGTGTGAACTTACTGCGTATGGGGCAGAATGCAGAATGCAGAATGCTTCCCATGGAGGACTGTCTATAAAGAATTGCATAAACAGTGATGAGCAAACAGACCTGAAAACAAGGACATGAAGCATGTCCACATTATCTCTGTGGGAAAGGCAAAGGCCTGGGAAGAATATTCTTGGCTCTTTGCACATGACCAAAGATGAAAAGACTCAACTTCAGGTGTATTCCCTTGCTGTGCCTGTATTTGCTTAAGTGGACTGTAAACGTCACCTCGTGTTTTGCTTGCTTTAATAAGAAAATGAGAAGCCCTTTGTTTGCACTGCTCTCGAGCTCAAATGCCTGGAGTCCCCTGGCTACCCCACGCAGATCTTTGGCATTTTCCTTCAATCTGTGGAGGCTAAGCATCGCCGGCCGGGAATGATTGACAGCTATGGAATCTAACATGAGTCCTATTTATCTGTTCCTGCCAGGATCTATGTGCCTATAGCCACATCAAAGTTGACCTTTGTTCTCTACTTCTGAAGACAGTCATAAGTCAGGGGAGGGCCCCAGTGGTTCTGATCACCACAGTGATCCAGGTCTCCTGCACTTTTTATAATAACCCGGGACCTTGGGCCAACCCATAGTGACGGAGCCCTCAGAGGACAGGTCAGCAGCTTGGGTGGTCTAAAGTGGTGCTCACTCTCCCAGAACAGACTGACTCACATGTCCCGTCTCTAAAGGGAAGGCTATAGCTTCTCCACAAGCTGTGGCTCCGTCTTCCTCCATCCCTCACCCCATCCCAACAACCCTTCGCTCCCCAGCTCCTGCTTCACTTTCTCCTTGCCGCAGGACCCCTGCATATGTGCCCTCTGTGCGGGAGACGTTCTATCCCCTCTCTCTTGTTTTAGTCACTCTTCAGAACTCAACTTGAAAGCCACCACCATCCTTCAACACTGTCGCACACCGTAGGCTTGTCATGAATACCATGGCGGCCTCTCGAGAAAGGCCTCTCCTCCCCTACACACTGCAGGTTCCCCAGGAACAGGGATAATGTTCAGTTTCCCCAGGATATAGATAGCACCTGCACAGAGATGCTTTGCTAATATCTACTGAATGAACATGCAGAAGTGCCCCTCACATGGCGTCCTGTCCTTGGCTGGGTAAACTGTCACATTTGTACATGAGCACCATCCTGAAGACTCTGTTTGTCCACTGAGCTGAAATGAGTTTGACAGCTGCGGAAATCCAGATGGGGCTATTACAAGCTTGTACTCCCTACGGTCCACCTGAAATGGACTGGATTAGCCTCCATGGCAGCTGTTGTTAACAAGGTTGTCTGGTCATAGACATACACTGACAGGCTTCTATAGGTCCAGGACTGTTCTGTTGCTCCTGTACTCAGTCCCGCCCTCCAGAGGTCACAGCCCCTAACAGCCAGAGACAGACACAGGGTACATACTCCACAAGGTTCCAGTAGACTGCTTTGAGCACAGTGCTAGATCCTTGGGGAACCTGGCTGAGGAACTTGGCAAGCTAACTGAACTGTGGGAGCCTGCTCTGGGAGCCGACACTCCTGGCTGTGCTGCTGTGGGTTAGAGGGAGCACAGTGTGTGCCTGGGCCCATGCTGACCATCGCTCTGCTTCTGTACACAGGTCTGTTGTAGGCATCCCAACCTGTGAGTCCCTGATCCAGCTGCAGCCTGGACACAGCTACACGATCTACGTCCGAGCCCTCAATGTCGGGGGCACCAGTGCCAGGAGTGAGCCAGCGACAGTGCACACCACAGGTCTGTGCCCCAGCCACACACTCTTGGGACCCAACATTAGCCACTGTACTACAGACTCAGTACTGCCAAGAGTGCACCAGAAAAAAACTAACTATCACACTGTGGGCAGATCAGGCATCGAAGGGGCTTCCGGGTCATCAAAGCCCTTGCTCTGTTTATAGATGAAGGCCTAAGCCCCAAAGAACTTGGGTTGGCTGAGAGTGTGCTAGAACTCAAGGCTTTTCCCCATGCCCCTCAGGTACCAGAGGCCGACCCTCTGGATCTGGGGGGCCTATATACTTCTTATCTCACTGTTTTGGTTTGGCTGGTCTAGACGCAATATGTAGTCACACCGACCTATAACTCAAGGTGATCCTCCTGCCTCAGCCTCTACAGGGCTGAGCATTACAGATGTGAGCCACCACACCTGGTTTGGAAGAGGGTTTTTACGACATTCCCGAGATCTCCAAGTAGCCATGGCCGCCTGCCTGCTCCTGCTGTCAGACCAAGCCCCTCCGCAGTTAGCAGCCAACTGAGTCTCCACCAGTCAGCCTTCTCCCTGCCTCCCTCTCTGTTTGACCATACTGCGTGCTGACTTCCCTTCTCATCTGCCTTCATCTGCATTCATCATGCCAGAGAACCAGCATGCCCCATGTCCAAGTCCTGAGTGAGCAGAGACCTCATTAGAAACATCTAGAACCCTATAACCCCTCCCCGGGCAGTGCTACAGCTCCACATTGCTGAGACCAGCCTCACAGGGCTTGAACTGGACTCAGTTCAAGCGGGCTGAGTGGGTGGCCCTCAGGTGAGCAGCAGAAACAGACCTAGCCAGTGTTCGGGACAAATTTCCCTCGACTGAGATCTTTCACGGAAGCACACTGTGTCTCTTGTCCCCATTTCCATTGGCAGGAGGTCCTTGAGTACAAACCCCCATTCCTATTCCTGCCACACAGACGGGAAAAGCAAGCGGGGTGTTTTGAAATAACAGATGCTTGCTCTGAACCAACCAGCAGTGACACAGAGGGCAAAGGGACAGCCAGCTTGATTTTCTTCCTTTTTTAAACAGAAAAGGATTGAACCTTGGCTCACACCCAGCACACAATAGGTTGAGGCAGGAGGACTGCTACAAGTTCAAAGCCAGTTTGTGAACAATGGTTTCAGATGAGCCTGGACTGCAGTATGAGACCCCGTCTTAAAAAAAATAATTCCCTCTCTTTGGCAAGGTTAGAAATTCTTACTCAGGTACACACACTCACAGCCTGCAAATTAAGAACCGGTCTCTAGAATCAGTGAGGCGAGAAGTTCAGTCTCAGCTCTATCATATACCAGCATATTTCTTGACCACCTGTGCCTCAGTTTCCTCATCTACAAAAATGAAGACAGTAACGCCCGTGTCTTGGTATAGCCCTGAGGACTAAGGGAGATAAAAATGTGCAAACTTCTGCAGGGCGCTGAGGGTTCAAGTCCAGCCATCCCTGTCTGTCGGTCGCTCACACCTGCTGGGGGCGAGCCTCTGTGCGTCCCTCTGAAACCCACGTACTTCAGTAATGTCTCCAGGCCATGTTGGAGAAGTCCTGCAATGTCGGGCTGGGGCTTCTCCATGTTCCCTCCCTCCACAGGAAGCTACTTCCAGCTGAACAAGGACAGCTGCCACCCCTGGCTGACCATTTCTGAAGATGGGTTCACAGTGGGTCGGAGTGAGAGGAAAACCTTCAGAAGGGAGCTGCCGCCCAGCAAGACCCAGTTTACCAGGTATCTGACTGGCCACCCAATGGAGCATTCAGGGAACTTAACTAATGCCACTGTTCTTTACAGGAAGTTGGATTATGGCAAAAGCATGCAGCTAATGGGGAGGGACCCAGAAAAGGACAAGACTCCTCTGCAGCAGAGATCCCAGGCTGTGAGAGCGTGGGAAACGGCCAGGATGTCAGGTCACATAGCACAGGGGCAGAAACCAGGCTCTAAGCGCTCCCCTTGTTGCTATGAAGGGTTCCTCTTACATCAGTGATCCTTAACTGTGAATCACAACCCCTTTGGGGGGGTGTCAAACAACCCTTTCACAGAGGTCACCTAAGACCATCCCGAATATTGGATATTTACATTATGATTCATAACAGTGGCAAAAATTGCAGTGATGAAGTAGCAATGGAAATAATTTTATGGTTGGGGCTGCAGCATTGAGGTTGAGAACCACTGCCTTAGGTCTTGTCTTTGCAGTCCTGGCAGGAGTTCACTGGGCAAAGAAGTGCATGCATGGCAGAGCTGAAGGGAAGGGACCACAGCACAATGGGTCGTTTGTAGCTTCTTAATGAGGTTTATGGATATTTATAAGGTGGCCGCCGGTGACCCTTTTCCCTCCCCAGTCAAGGTGAACCAGATCCCCTTTCTAGAAAATTTTTCCGAGCCTCTAGAAAAACCAAGAGAAGTCACAATCACGATGCAAGTGACACATGACGTCAGGTTTTCTAAGGATGCAGCCCCTTCATGAGTGCACGTGTGGCAGTTGGGGAAGCATCCCGGGTCCTTAGCTTCTGGTGTAGCAGGAAGAACTTAACTGCAGCTTAGAGGTGTTTACCATTTTGCCCCTCCCCCCCCCACAGACTGGAGAGAAGCCTTGGTCCTCACCTCGGTTTACCTGCCCTGTCATCCTCACACTGTGGTGCTTTAGTCCAAAGTGGTGAAGTCGGCCAGTACTAAGTGGGTGCAGAAAACTGTCTTCGCAGTTACACAAAACCTGAGGGCCGTCTGTCTGTCCAACTTGCTCGCTCCTTTTAGAGCTCAGTACATTATGTTGAGCTATTTACCGCTACCATTCTTTCTCCAAGGAGATATAAGAGGCTTAAAATAGGGGCTACCACACAATAGGGAGAAAAACACAACAGAAGGGAAGGGATAGAAAAACTCCCAAGGCTGAATTCATCTCCAGGCTTTAAACAGTAAACACAGCCTCTCTACGTCCAGGTGGTCAAAAGTAGAGTTCAGAGGAGCTGTTGAGGAAGCCAGGGGCTCGCCCATGGTCAGCAGCAGCTGGAGACACAGCTGCCAGCTATTCCAGTCCAAGGAGAAGCCCAGACCACAGGCGATTTCAGGATGAGGCAGTATGAAGAAAAGCTGGAGTTTGCTAAGAGAGGCCTTCCCTGTAGAGCAAGCATGGTGGAGAGGCAGAAGGAGATGGTGTAAGAAAACAGTTGTCTGTACTCAGGGAGGTGCAGGTGGACTCTCAATCGAGTCTGCTTAAGTGGCTTTTCAGCTTGTTTTGAGAAAGACTCTCCTGTGGATATGTGTTGGCAGACTGCTTGTATATCCAGACCTGGCTAGCTCAGTCGGTAGAATATGGGACTCTAATCCCAGGGTCATGGGTTCAAGCCCCACATTGGCCACCAATCTGTTTAGACTGCTTGTTTGTTCCTAGCCACCCAGACCCAAAATAATCACACAAAACTATATTAATTAAATCGCTGCTTGGCCTATCAGCTTGTGCATATTTTTAGCTAGCTCTTACATCTTAAATTAAGCCATCTCTATTAATTTGTGCATTGCCACAAGGTCATGGCCTACCAGAAAGGTTCCAGAGGCATCTGTCTCCTGTGGAGGCTACATGGCTTCTCCCTGACTTCGCCTTCTTTCTCCCAGCATTCAGTTTAGTCCACCCCCCCACAGCTCTACTCTGCCCTGTTATAGGCCAAAGCAGCTTCTTCATTAACCAATGATGATAAAACATATTCACAGCATAAAGAGGGGAGTCCCATTTTGTCTCATCTTTGTCCCTGCTTCCAAAGCACTGGGAAGACAGGTGGTAAGTCACCATTCCTGATTCTAGAAAATGCTTTTTGACTATCCTTTTTTGTGGGTTCTGCTTTGGGTCTTGGCTCTTTAGGGGCCCAGCTGAGTTAGAGAGCCCCATTTTAATCTCCAACTCCAGTGTAGCTGTTGCTGTGTAAATGGCTGTGCTGTGTGCAAGGGTGGAGAGGAAGGTCCTGTCCGTGCCCTCTGCTAGGACTCAAGCATGAGTCAGACACGCCTGTAAAAGACACGGCAGAGGTACCCAAGGCACTGCTGGAGCCTGTCCTATGTGCTTTCCACGGCTGTCACCATGACCAAAAGAAGCGCTTATTTATCTTACAACAACCTCAGGCGTCCTCCGGAGCCACCCACCTTGTTTTTGAGACGTGGTCTCTTACTGGACTGGGGCTTAGCTAGTACACTAGGTCAGTGAGCCCAGGAATCTGCCACACCACCACACCAGCTGTGTGTATTTCTAAGACAGGGTTTCTCTGTGAAACCCTGGCTGTCCTAGAACTCACACAAATCTGCCTGACTCTGCCTTCCAAGTGCTGGATTAAAAGGCATGTGCTATCACTGCCCAGCTACTTTATGTATTTTTCAAATTGTGTTATTTTGTATGTACAAGTGATTGACTGCATGTATGTCTGTGCATGTGTGCCTGGTACACACACAGTCCAAAACAGGGTGTCACACACAGTCCAAAACAGGGTGTCAGATCCCTGGACCTGGAGTTACAGACTTCTGAGCTGCCACAGGGGTGCTGGGAAACACAATGGTTAAATACTCAAACACCAAAGCCATCTCTGCAGCTCCCGGGTTTTTCACACAGGCTCTGGGCCTTGAACTCAGGTCTTCATATTTACAAGACAAGGACTGTACCAACTGAGCTAGCTCCCCGCCTTTGTGAGTCTGTGAGTCTGCTAACCAAAATGAAGATCTGAAAGGCACATACCCCTCTCCGCTCTGGCAGGTGAGAGGGGTGGGAACATGGTTTCCATTTGACACACTGAACAGCTGACATCTGCAATAGGTAGACAGAAGCTGCCTCCCCAAAGCTTTGCTCAGACAATCAGACAGGGGCTTAGAGAGTGGAAGAAAATGATGACAGTTGGACAAACCCTCCCAGTTAGAGGCCGCAGAAGTTTTGGCTAGCACAGGAATCTCGGCACAGATGAGGCCTAGATACTTTGGGGGGTTCCGCTGTGACCCCACTTGCACTGGAAACCTTCCTCTGTTGAGTACTTTGCACACCAGAATGTCCCTCTGAGCTGGCAAAGACGGTTCCCAGAGGAGGGCTGGGGTCAGCTTTGATGACTGGTGGGAATGTGTGATCTTGCTTTTGGGTAACTCTCTGAATTCCTTTCAAAAAAGTTTTCTATCATTCTCATTATTAGTGTGTGTGACATGTATGTGTGCAGACACACATGTATGAGTGCAGACACACATATGAGCACAGACATACATGTATGAGTGCAGACAGATATGTGAGCACAGACACACATGTATGCGCACAGATACGCATGAATGAGTGCAGACACACATGTATGAGTGCAGGCACACACATACCATGGGGAGGGGGTCAGAGGACAACATGGAGTTGACGCTCTCCTTCCGTCTTTTGTGAGACCTGGGATGGAACACAGGTTGCCAGGCTTACACAGCACACCTTCACAGCAGCCCAGCCTCTGGAGTCCCGACGCCCCTAGCATGAAGGTTACCTGAGAGATCCTTTGTCTTTACTTTATACCCAATGCAAGGGCCAGCCAGTCATGAACTTCAAGCACGTGGAGATACTTCAGCCCCTCCATCTTATAATGAATCTACCTTCATTACTAGAAATGCCTGAGCCATTTTTAAGAGACAACGGAACCGGTTCTGTGGGTTTCATCTCATCCATTACCAGGTGCTGTAATATTTCAATCTTCAGCATTAGCTACACCTGCGGCACCCTAAATGAAACGTTCCCACCTTCTGATGGAACCCCGAGTCTTATGCCTGCTACACAAGCTCTCTGACACCTGTTTCCAGCCCAACACTTCTGCTTTCTAAAACCAGGTGTGCTGCTGTCATTGGGAATCTAATTCCAGTCCGAGGACGCCATTACTGGGAGGTGGAGGTAGATGAGCGCTTGGACTACACGATTGGTGTGGCCTGTGAAGATGTCCCTAAACAGGAAGACCTGGGGGCAAACTGCTTGTCCTGGTGCATGAGGCATACATTCGCCTCCACAAGGTAAACTCAGTCTGTACACCCAAAGGGAGGGTTTCAAAGACGCAAGGTTTACTAAGAGTAAACAAGGCACACGCTTGCTTAGAGAAGTCACAGGTCCTCCAGCTGCTGCCACCCACTCCTGAAAGAGGAACAACAGCCACGGCTCACGCTGTGCATCTTAACCCCCGGGTGGTTTCTCATTTATGCTCCGCTCCCACATTCCAAGTTTCCAGCTGCTGAGGAAGCCCAATTCCACCTTCAGTCAGTGTGGCTGATAGTTCCTGTGACCAAGGCGTCTGTAGCAGAGCACTGCGTAAAACAGAACTGCATGAATGGTTGGTTCCGTGTGGATGGAGGAAAAAAAAAAGGTCCCGGAGTCCTGGCCAATGCACAAAATGTTTGGACTGACAAAGCCATGGCAGCTACCTTCCTTCACTTGAAAACTTGCAAAACAAAGCACACACGTATGCCCCCATGCACCTCTTATAGGCTGCCTTTAATCTCAGCACTCAGGAGGCAGATGCAGGTAGATCTCTGAGTTTAAGGCCAGCCTGGTCTACAGAGTGAGTTCCGGGACAGCCAGGGCTACACAGAGAAACCATGTCTTGAAAAACCGAAGAGTGGGGAAATGCAGCCTCTGACACTCTTGGGCTTGATGAAACCTGACCATCATGAATAGCAGCTTTCCCGCGAGAGACTTGGTTTAGACTGGACTCTGCTAACCCTCAGAACCCCTTTAGGGATATAAGAATTCTCTGCATACATTTAATCTGAACCAAGAATAAAGATCAAAGGCTTCTTTAGAAAGAACAAGGGTCAGATTCAAAGAGATAAGGGAGGTATGGGAGTTGGGGGGGGGCAGGAAGAAGGGGCCAGTAGAGGATGATGACAAGGCCTCCATTAGACTCATATTTTTGGTTCATGGTCTTGAGTCCATTAGTAGAGAGAAGGGACTCATTTGCTGTCTGGTAGCTGCTTAGTTTAAAGACATAAGAAGGTGAAGGAGATGAAACCTGGCTAGCTCATTGACACTTAAGTGTTGATCTAGGAGTCTGAATCAACATTGCGGAAAACACGGCTCTTCAGAGGTCTATGTCTTGTGACTCGGTTTGATTTTGGCCACTTTCCAAAGTACACAGGTTACATAAAAAGTGTACAGGCAGCGCTCAGAACTCACCTGTGACAGCCAGGTGACCACAGCCTCCGGCTTGGGTGCAAATTTAAGAACTGGATGTCATGGAGTCTTGGCTCAGGTTATAGAGAAAGCCTGTTTCTCACGAATGCCCACAGGGCTCCCGCTTCAAATGTCTTTTACTCCTAGTGAGTCACGCACTGGATTCAAATTTCCTCTTTCTGTACAATTCTGATGCAGTGGAAGTTCGTGATTCTGTATAAGAGCTTTTTAGGTGCTGAATTTGCTCAAGAAGAAAGTCCGAAACTGTTTTACGACAAATGTTAGCAAATGTTAGCAAAAGTAGTTTGGAAATGTCATGGTAGTCAGGGATTACAAGGGACAAAATTGTAGGGGTATAAATCAAGTCAGTACGAAACACTCTGCAAGCAGCTCCGTGTGGTTTCCAAAGCTTTGTTGTATCAACATTGATTTTCAGGCACCGGTACGAATTTCTGCACGACAGGACAACTCCAGACATAAGAATCACAGTTGCTCCAAAGAAGGTCGGCGTCCTGCTAGACTATGAAAACTCCAGGCTGTCGTTTTTCAACGTGGACATTGCTCAACATCTGTACACATTCAACTGCCAGCTCCACCAATTCGTGCACCCCTGTTTTTCTTTGGAAAAGTCTGGAAGCCTAAAGATCCGCAATGGCATCTCAATGCCAAAGCATGTCACCTTTTTTTAGGTCCTTCTGATGTTGTTTCAAGTCCTTCTGTCCTCCCCTCACTTGGCTGGCTGAACTTGGGATTCAAGTTTCCTGCAGCCAGCACAAGCTACAGTTCACACTAGTGTCAGGTAGATGGGGTGCTGGGCCTGTTTCACCTGATAATGGACTCATCCTGGGGGCTGCTCCCTGTGTGATGCTTGGGGAGCCATTATCAGACCAGGCTGTCAGAGAAGGGGTCAGACTCTGAACTCAAAGGGCTCTTGTGGGCTTGAACTGCACTTGTCTGTTTGTGGATATGTAAAGTATTTTGAGTCTCCTAAGCCTATAAACATAAGGATAGGGTCAGGAAGTCATTTGTAAATTATAATTTGTAAGGGTCAAGGCCTCAGCAGCCCCTGCACATTTGTGACGTTTCACTATTTACTGAGAACAGACCCAAGAAGGCAAGAAACCCTGCAGAAATACAAGGAAGTCGGGTACCCATCTCAAGACCACCGTGGTAGGTTGAGTAAGAAGGGCTCATCTGTTTCAATGCTTAGCCATCCAGAGTGCCACTATTTGAGAAGGATTAGCATGATTAGGAGGTGTGGCCTTGCTGGTAGAAGTGTGTCACTGGGGGTGAGCTTTGAGGTTTCAAAAGCCCATGCCAGGCTCTGTCTGTCTGTCTGTCTGCCTGTGGATCAGGATGTCCCCCTCTCTCAGCTACTGCTCCAGGCCCAGTCTGTCTGTCTGTCTGTCTGCCTGTGGATCAGGATGTCCCCCTCTCTCAGCTACTGCTCCAGGCCCAGTCTGTCTGTCTGTCTGTCTGTGGATCAGGATGTCCCCCTCTCTCAGCTACTGCTCCAGGCCCAGTCTGTCTGTCTGTCTGTCTGTCTGTCTGTCTGCCTGTGGATCAGGATGTCCCTCTCTCTCAGCTACTGCTCCAGCGCCATGAGTGCTGCCATGCTTCCTGCCATGATGATGGACTAAGCCTCTGAAACTGTTAAGCCCCCATTACATTTTGTAAGAGTTGCCTTGGTCGTCGTGTCTCGTCACAGCAGCAGAACAGTGACTGAGACAGAAGCGGTACTAGGGCCTGGAGTGCTGCTGTGACGGGCCTGCCCACGCTGCTCGTTGGAGGAATATGGAAGAACTTGGGACTCTGAAATAAAAAAGCGGTTGGACACTTAAGTGGGGCTTAACAGGAGCATGGAAAACAGTGTTGGGGGTGATTTGAACTGTGAGGGCCCAGATCAAAAAGTTCGAGAGGGGATGAACATTAGCAAGTGGCCTAGAGACCATTCTTGTGCTGTTTTGGCAAAGATTGGGGCTGCTTTTTGCCCTTGCACTAAAAATCTGCCTAAAGCTAAACTCAAGTTTTGAATTAAGGATTTAGTAGAGATCTCAAGACAGCTTGGTGTTGACCCTGTTGTATGGCTATTGGTGACTGCACTTATGCAGATTTTTTACGAAAAGGAGGAAGGGAAGCAAGCAAAGTACAAAATGTACAGTTTGAGGAGAAAAGGAGCACCAGGAAGTGATTGTTAGAGCCAAGTCCTGTGTTCAAGGAGACAAAGCATTTAAGGAAAAGCCCCAAGCTAAATTGAAAGTGGTGATGTCAGGGCAAGAACACACCCAGCTAACAGGAAAGCCTGAACAACAGTGAAGGTCTTCAAAGTTAAGCAAGAGGGTGATGCTAATGTAAAGAGGGGGGCCACGTCCAGCCCCAGCAAGCAGTGGACCTTGGTAGTTTAGCCACTTCTGGCTCCAGAGTCAAGAATACAAATGGAGTTGTGGAATCTCCCTCCACAGCTAAGGAATGCCCTGAAGCCAGATGTGTGTCTGGGGTGTCCCTGCAGGGAGACCCAGACAGAGTGTGAAGCTATAAAGGTCGATACCTGATTACCTTGGAAACCAAAATAGGTTGGAGATGCCAGAACCCTGGGATACCTGCCAAGGAGAGCTGCTAACAGGGCGTGGAACCAGCCTAAGAGAGAAGTGTATGTCAGTCAGCATGACTGACAGCGCTGTGCCCAGAGTCTGGACCCCCAAACCAAGAGACCAGATAGATGAAAAAGCAAAAGAATCCTTTTAATTACAAGCTAACTCAGGTCCGTCCGACACAGCTGGTGGAGTAGGCAGGACCCCAGAGCCACAGTGGGGCAGGGCATTTACTAGGGGCACAGCAAGGGGGAAGGCCCACGGGTCTTCAAGTCTCTGGATTGGCACACCTTAGGCTGGGGGAACCTGTCCTGAGCTGACTGGTCAGCTGCAGCTGTGGAAAGATTGTTGTTCCTGGAGGCCATCCAGGGGGCAGTTCCTGTGGTCACCATTATCAGTAAAGCCTGTCCAGAGCCTGCCAGCTTACTTCTGATTGGTTCCTTACTACAGGATATCCGGCAGTAATTAGGAGAAGGTCAGGTAAGGTCAGGGGCTTAGCACATCTTGTTGGGTCTTTTCTGCAGCCTGTCATGGCTGCCAAAGTGGGGGCTGAATGAGCATTCTGAAGAATGCTTTGACATTAGACGTGTAGATGAAGAATTTAGTGGGCTCTGCTGGGCTTAGGTCTGGCTTTGGCCCACAGCTCCTCACTCTGATCCCTTTCATTCCCTTGGAATGGTAATGTATATTCTGTGCCACTGTATGCTGGAAGTATGTGATCTGTGTTTTTATTTTGATTTTATAGATGGTCATAGTTCATCTGCCTTGAGTCTCAGAGGAAACTGAACTTTAAGTGTTAGGACAGCAGCAGAAGAGTGACTGAAACAGCCGTCCATCCCTGCGTTTCATAACGAAAGCGGGTAGCAGCATGGCAGGTTCCTCCCGGTGTCCATGTTCTGTAATGCCCTGTCTTCTCCTGCGTGGTGGTCTGACCCCACTCTAGTTCTGAGATTACCTCTAGGATGACTAAAGGCAGGACGGTGTGCGCCTTGTTATAACACAATCTTGTTTACCAATTGTTTACCAATATGTGTAAACAAGCACTTTCATCTAACCACTGTTCTTTGGCCTCATGCTGCTCTTGGTGGTAAAGCCGGCAGGCCTCCTTCAACTATAGCAAAGCACCCAGGACAGGAAGAAAACCTCATGAGCTAGCGTGAAGGAACGGAGGGCACCTGCGGCTCAGGGGAGCATTTCTCTCTCTCTCTCTCTCTCTCTCTCTCTCTCTCTCTCTCACACACACACACACACACATTGTGAATGCGGTGCTTTCCCTGTGTGCAGAGGAAGGGGCCAGGGATGAGTGGAGTTACGAGGAAGAACATTAGTGATGGTTTATTCTAGGTATTGTCACAAAATGTAAGCAGCCAGATTGGAAACCATCAACTGGACCTGACTGCTATTTTGTACCTACTCTGCCTAAAACCTTATATACCGGTTTCCCTTCAAACTAAGGGAAAAGTCGTGTTTGTCTCGTCGGGATGTGAGGCATCACGACAAAGCCAAGTGTCAAGTAACAAATGACATACGGTAGTTATGGTGTCTCAAAGTCAAAGCTGGGTCCTCGTGAGAAGAACACGCTCTGGCCAGCAGCTCTCAAGGGCCATTCAGGGACCGTGGACCTGGCGCCCCATCCACATTCCCAATACTTTCACATGTCACAGTCCAGCTCGGGACTCCAGCTGCACAGCAAGAACTCCTCTTGTAAAACAGGAGACCGTGTTAGCGCCATGTTCTTCAATGCCACCCCACACAAGCAAGCCCTACTCTGACCACCCAGGGTTGAGTTGAAGGGAATTGTCCTTCTCTTTACAACTTTGTTTCCAAGCACACTTCAATTCTAGCAATGGTAACAGCTCTCATCTCCTTGCAGACTGTACTACTGTGAGCAGCAGCTGAGAATCCTGGCTATCACTTGCCCAGAGAGTTAACAGCTTCTCTCTGTGTGTGTCCCTGTCTCCCTCTCCCTGTCACACACACACACACACACACACACACACACACACACACACACACACACTCTCACTCCTGCTCTGCCAACCTGGCCTCTTACCTTACACAGAATTGGCTGAAACGTTACTGAAATACACATGTGTATAGTGAACGGTATTCTCTACTGAAATAGAAACTACTGAATGGGAAATGTGGACCACAGACATGGCCAGTTTGGCTTCAGAGTTCTAGTGGGACCCCTGGAATGTGTCACACAGACTACAAACATGGGCAAATAACAGAAACATGACACCTGTTAAGATTTTAAAACTCTTTTAATTTAACAAGATATCTAGATATTTGACATTTAAAATTTACTTAAACTAGAGGTCAGCTAACTTCAAGAATCAGTTACTAACTATAAGGAACCTTTGTTTAAGAATGTCATTATCTTTTTTGTTTGTTTTTTTGTTTGTTTTGTTTTTCGAGACAGGGTTTCTCTGTAGCTTTGGAGCCTGTCCAGGAGCTAGCTCTTGTAGACCAGACTGGCCTCAAACTCACAGAGATCCACCGGCCTCTGCCTCCCGAGTACTGGGATTAAAGGCGTGGCTATCACCACCCGGCTAAGAATGTCATCTTCTTCAAGAGGAAAAGATTGATCCAAAAATAAAGAGAAAATCTGCTAGATTTTGTGATATATTCCAAGTCCTTACAATCCCATGCAGAAGCTGAGGAAACTAAATTTTGACCAAGGGCAGGGCTTACCTCATGTCCATGTTCAGCCTTCTGGTAAATCTGTTAAAAAAACAAAACAGAAAAACATTAAAAAAAAATTTTGTGTGTTTGAACGTTTCTTTGAGACGATCTCATTATGTAACCCTGGGGGCTTGGAACTTGCTATTTAGACCAGGCTGGCCTTGAACTCCTGCCACCACACCCAGTATAGAAAAGCATTTTTTAAAAACAGACCGCTAAGACCACGACCCCTGAACTGGGCAGATACACCAAACTTCATCTGCTCTTCTCCCAGCTTTCCCCGACTTGCTGTGTAATTCCCATCACACACGTGCTAGACCCTACCTGAGCAAGGGGAACGAGTCTGTAAAGCTTTCACAGGACCGTGGGGGCAGGGGACACGACTGGCAAGCATTTAGTAGCCAGACTATCTGAACGTATCATCTTTAGCAGCAGAATGAACAAGTAGTTAGGAATGTGGGATATAAAACACTACTGACTTTTGGTGAAATTAAACAGTTTTATTTACAGAATTATTATTATTGTTGTTGTTTGTTGTCATTGATGGTAGTGGTTTGGTTTTGGTTGTTTGAGACAGTGTCTCACTAGGCAGCTCAAGCTGACCTTGCATGTGAAGCAATCCTCCTGGCTCAGCTTCTCACACGAGCCACTGTGAATGGCAAAAAGTGCTGTGTGTGACAGACTCCTGAGGCTGGTGAGATGGCTCAGCAGGTAAGGTTTGGTGCCAAACCCGATGACCTGAGTTCAACCCCCAGAGCCCATGTGATGAAGAAAGAATCTGCAAGTTGTCCTGTAAACTTCATGTGTGTACCACAGCACAGAAACCCCTCCTCACCCCGTCCCACACAAGAAAGTAAAAATAAGTAACAGTCTCCCTGCTGGCTTGAACGATGGCAATCAATTAAACATGTGTAATAAAATATTTCTGTAGCATGTACTTGGCTGTCAGTACAAAACAGAACCAGTTTCTTGGCAGTTGGCATTCTCAACTTCTCACCCTCAAATCTGGTAAAGCCGCCGCCCGACGTGACTCACTCAGCAGAGGCTGTGCACAGCACAGTTCACCCTGGTGTGGCACTCTGTGGGTGATACCACCGTTTTTGGATTCTTAGAGCCTGCACTATAGGA